TATTACTATATTAAATTATATTTTAATTATTAATTAAATTGGATTTTTAAATCAAACAATTTTATTTATTATATGAACAAAGCATAACTTCTTGTTACTACTTGAGATTAGATTTGAATTAGAACTTGAAATATTATATTTTGAATTCCTTTGATTATTTATTTTATAATAAATGTACAAATATGGAATTTATGAAAGAAACAAGATTTTACCTATTTTGAGGTAAGAAATGTTTTAATTATTTGATGTGACATCTATGAATTGTGTACGGGGACGTATACGAGAAATATGTGTTGCATAGCGAGTCTTTCTTGGGCTGGAAAACATTGTATGGGTCTTCTTTATCGATGCCTTCTCTTTCAATTGCATTTTTCTTCTTGCTGGAAGATGATAATGCGCCAATTACTGTCTGTAACTCTAGCTGATGATGTGAACCAAAGATAACATGTGTTGGTTCATGGTGTGATGATCAATGTGGAAACATGACCTGAAAAGAAAATAAAACTAATAAAATAACAAAATAAAATATAATATAAGTAAAATAAATTAAAACAAAAATATAAACTAGTCAGGCTTGAGTTCATAGAACTAACTTGAAGCAATATGTTAGGTATATTATCACCATAGTGTTTCATCATATGCCCATTACAAATGCTCCAATGTTCATACAAATGTGCTTGCTTTGTTCCCTCGATAATGCCAACAACATAACATTGAGTAATGTCATCGCATTGCAAAATATTGAATGTAATCTACCTGTCATTTAAACACATTGTGAGTTATTCCTTGTGGACATCAACCAATATTCGTGTTGTAGCAAGGAAAGATCTACCCAATATTTTTGGCACATCCTTGTCGGCTACACAGTTCAAAACAATGAATTTTGTTGGAAAGATGAATTTGTCTACTTATACTAGAACATTGTCTATTTTGTCGTAAGGATGGGCAATAAATTGGTAATCAAATTGTAATGTAACAGTGGTGGGTGTTGCTTTAGTCTCAAATTTCATGAAAATAGACAAAGGCATTAAGTTAATGATGGAACCTAAATCACATAATGCTCTAGCAATGAATTGATTACCAATAGTACAAAGAATAGTAAATCTCCCTAAATCCTTTAACTTTGGTGGCAATATTCTCGTGACCATGGTGTTACACCCTACAGTGAGTGTAACGATTTTGAACTCACCAATGCTTAGGTACCAATTTCTGATTGCAAGTTTCGTGGTTTGGATGGCATATAATACTTAGGTATCGATGTTAGATGATGTGTGGGTGCTCATCATTCTCCACGCGTATTCGACTTTCGAACTCTTTTCAAAATGAGTTTCTAGTTAAACATATGTTGTTTTTAGGTTGAACTTTTAAATTGATTTTTCTTAAAATTATTTAAAATGTAAACTAATCCAAAGGTCAATGGCAACTCCAAATTTGTTTTTCTAAATTATGATCTTTTAAATTAAGTTGGATCGCTCCCCGTCTGAACAATAAAGTTTAAGGACCATTCCGACAATAGCAAGATAAAAGTTCATTTTGTTAAATGAAGAATGATAGCAGTGACGGAGATTGGGTGGTATTGGGGAGTTAAGAATGGGGGAACTGTCATGGATGGAGATAAAATCTTTCATTCTTCGTAGATCCTTATGGTGTACATGTTTTTTTGAGAGGAGGAGAAGGACAACACTTAGTTTTTTTTTTATTATTTTGACTTGTTAATTTAGATTTCTGTTAATGACTTAACATAAATTAACGGTCGGGGAATCAAATCGAATTGATAATATAAGAGATTAAAATCAATTTTTTTGAATCGTTGATCAAAATTGGACGAACCAAAAATATAAGTGATCATCAGTCTAATTTATCCAAAAGTAATCAAAGAACTTTAGGTTTGTTGCACAAGAAAGACAAGAGTATGTGAATGTCCCTTATTATCATAAAAAGCACAAACTATAATTTATCAAAATGCCTCCAGTGGTATAAATGTTAATTTTTCCATTTATTTTAAATCTCAATTTATTATTTTTGTTAGTGAATTCATGTTTTATCATCATGTTTATAATGTTATTTTATTAACATTAATATAAAAATTATACGATTGAATCAAATCATGTTGCATTTAACATAGAAATATAAAAACAATAAAAGTATTAAAAATTTACATAAAATCATAAAATTATCTGATTTAAAAAACATTTTTATGATTTTATAGATATTAATTTTTAAAAGTAATTAATTATAATTATAATTTTGAAAGAAAATATAGTTCAAAACATGAAGTCTGAAGATTAGAAATATTTCAAAATATATATATTTAAAATTTTATGAGTTTTCTAATATTATACAATTTAAGAAACTTTGAACTTTTATTAAATATGATGTCTTATTAATCCACATTGCTTTTTCTTTAAACTTTATCGATAACAATATTTAAAGAGAATGGTGGATATAATAAATTATGTATTTGGTCACTCAATCATTTGTGTGATTTGTTTTGATCACTTATTTATTTTTTAAAATCATATTTAACATCATGTTTCGGATTCATTTTAGTCGCTAGTAATTAAAAAATAAATGTGTTTGGGCTGTTACCATAAGATAATGTTACGTCATCAATAAAAAGACAAAAATATACATAAATAATTTTATTAATTTTTTAACGATAAATGACTAAAATGAAACTAAAATATAAAGTTAAACATGATTTTAAAAAAATAATTAAATAACCAAAACAGAACCTCGTAAATAATTAGATGACTTAATACAAAATTTATCCTAGATATAATAATAGCAGAAGAGTAAACTCAGAAAAATAGTACAAAAACGGAAAGCTAAAGTAGAGGCAGAAATCAGCTAATAAGGCAAATAAAACACGTTGCACACAAAACTAGCATGGGAATGTCATTTTCGTAAATAATTGCCAAAAGCTACCATTTGTACGTCCATCACAGTTCAGTAAAGATTGAAGCTTTTTTTTTCAACATTTAAGATTGAAAATGAAGAGAAAGGAGTTAACTACAAACTATGAAGAAGGTTCATAACTAGAATGGTTTTTTTTTTTGTTTTTGAGTTATTAGTTTTCTGGTAAGTTGTTTAACTTGATTTTGGTTACTAGGAGGGGAAGAAATCATGGAAGCATTTGATGATGAAGAAGACAGTGGTAATGGTAAAAGACTCCTTTTTTCTGAACGTGAATGATGCTAAAGATGCCTCATTTCTGTCGTTTTTCAATGTTAATGAAAGCCTTTTTTACAGTTGTTTTCGGCTACTCCATCTGGGTTTTTTCTTCTCCATCTGTTTCCATTGTTTGTCGGACGTAGCTTGACTTCCTTTTTCTGGAAAAAAAAGAAAAGAAAAAAGATAAATAAAATGTTTGTCTTCTAAAGGACACATGTAAGGGTATGTTTGTTTTCCGTAATTGGAATTACGGAATTAGTTTTCCTTGAATTCCCAATTACGGAATTAGTTTTCCTTGAATTCACGTGTTTGTTTCACGTAATTCGTTTTCCGGAAAATGTTTTCCCGTGTTTGTTTAACGTAATTCATTTTCCGGAAAACGTTTTCCCGTGTTTGTTTCACGTAATTCGTTTTCCGGAATGTAATTCATTTTCCTAGTAACAGAATTTCCTTTGTGTTTTCTGTAAAATGACTTACGGATTCATTTTTCGTAAGTCATTTTTCGTAAGTCATTTTCCGAACTTTTCACTTCAAAGCAAAAATACTCAAAATAATTTTATTTTATGAATTTAATATTAATAAAATATTTTAATATCATTTTCATCAAAATATTAATTATTAAAATATTTAAAATATATTTATTAATATTTATAATAATAATATAATATTATATTTTTAATATTATATAAAATAATCAATTATATTATAATAATATAAGATATTATATTTTTATTTTAATAATATATAATAAATTTTTTATATATATTTAATAATGAATAATATTATTTTATATATTTCAATAATATTTTAGTAAAGATATTAAAATATACTAATTAATATTTTTAAAATATAATATAATACTATTACTTTAATAAATAATTAATATAATTTATAAAATTTTATTTCACTAAAATATACCGAAAAAATGTTTAAATAACATCTTCCAAACATCATAAAACGTTTTCCAGATGTTTTCCAGAAATGTAATTCATTTTCCAGAAATGTAATTAATTTTACAGAAATGTAATTCATTTTCCAGAATTCAAATTCCAGTAATTCATTTTCCAGTAATTCAAATTCCAGTAATTCAAATTCCAGTAATTCATTTTCTGGAAAACCAATTACAGCTAAACAAACAGACCCTAAGTTTTATTTTTCTGTTCTGTTTATCGATACCTTATTCTGATGATAAAAGTAAATGTTGTTATTTTAAATGATCTTAATTTTAGAAATTTGTTCTTTTTAAGGGAATGATTGTTAATGGTGTGATAAAAATATGTTCAATGTTGATCAAACATGAGATATTTGTATTTCTAACTATTATATTTTTATTAAGATCTAATACAAATAATTTTAATTTCCTATTTTTTTTCATCTGCTTACTGAGCTAAACTGTAGTATTCCAAAACAATAGGTACATAATTCGCCTCTTGTATATATAATCTTATTTTGTTATTATTCGGCTCACCAATTCATAACAAATGTTATAGGGGAAAAATTAACCATGAATGATGTTCACACCTAAGAGTAACATGTGTTTTTAACGTCTGTATTATCAAATTCAAATCATCTTTTTAACTTAATATGATTATTGTTTGGTTTCAACTTCATGCCGGAATCTGTGTTTCTCGCGATGAGTAGATCATTTGGACCAGTTTGAAACTGATGGGTTTATTGTACTGGATGATGAAGATGAAGATGAAGATGACGGAGTTTTGAAGGGCAAGAAGACGAAAACGAAAAAGAGGAAAAGGTAAACCTTATGTCCTAATCTGTAGTGTTGAATTTATTTTAATCTCATGACTGTTTCCATTTTTAATTCTCCAGGAGATCAGTGAAGAATCTCGTTCTTAATGATGATGGTATTGAATTGCTTCACGAAAACAGAATTTCAGGCATTTATCAATCTTCTAAAGTAAGCATCGAACTCCATCCCTAAAAATTTATTGCCTTGATAGCATTTATATTACTATTCATGGTTAAGATAGTTCTATCATTCTGTTTCTTTGCTCGGATGAAATTTCCTACTCGAATTTCCCTTACGATTTGGCTGGATGAAATTTTACTCAGGAAACTGAAAGGCTTAAGCGGCTCAAAAAGGCTGGAAAAGGCACTGAGGTGGTTGATCTGTCTGGTTTTTCTGATGATGAGGGTAATTTCCTATTCGATGCTCGCATCTTATTGTCGATATTTGCTCGGATGTTTCAACTTGCCTCTGCATTCCCTACCAAGAAAGAAAGAAAGGAATAAATTGTTTTCTAATGCAGTTGAATATTGTAGGTCTGCTATTTGATGATTTATGCGGAGAAGAGGGAGCTTCATTTGGAGGGGGTCATCTACAAGGTACAAATTACTCATTGTAAAATCACTTTTTTATGAAGCTTTGACAAACATTAAGTATATGAAATATTAGTTGATTATTAAATATCTTGCCTTATGTTATCTGTGATTCATGCAAACTATCTCCATAGGTGGTTCAAGATCAACCAAAAGAAGTCGAAGCAAGTTGTAACCAATTGTTCAACTGGTTTAGACAACGAGGTTCATATGAAGGATGGTGCCTATCAGACCCAGAATCATCTGAAGCAAGTTCAAGCTTCAAAAGTGAACCTGGATGATTCTACTGCGTTTGAACCTTTTTTTCTAGCCAACAAGTATACAATTGAGAGGGATGATCATGTTGGGGAGACAGACATACCAGAGAGGATGCAGGTATATTTCGTTGCATTTGATCCCTCAGGACACAAGGGCTTGTAATAATTTCTCGATTTCTTTTCCGTAGATGATTGAAGAAATCACGGGGCCTCCTCCGCTTGATGCAAGGAGCATAGAAGAGGAAGCTTCTTGGATACTTAATCAAATTGTAATGAATTCATATATTTTATTTTGCAACAAAAGAACTGCAGAAAGATATGAAGAAGTATCTATTCTTCTCAACAAAATTAAGAAGGAAAATGTTATGAAGTTCTTGGAATTGCATCATGTGAAGAAGTTTGATGTGAGTAGCAATAGCTTTAGATACTAACTTTTCCTCTTAAGTTTGAAATTAAAATGCAATCGTTCATGCATCTTTTCTCTCTATGCTAGGTTCCATTTACTGCCATGTATCGGAAGGAGCAATGTCTGAGTCTGCTGGATGATTTAGTGCAAAATGAGGCTGAGAACGAAGATGATGATGCTTTTGTACAAGTAGGCAAATTAAAGTGGCATAAGGTAGTGTTTTGTTAAATGTATTCTTACAAGTTACTTCCCTAGAGTCAAGAATGGCATAGATGCCATAATCACTGGTTTCCATACCGTGATGGTGAACTAAAAGAGTGACTTCCCAGAATAAAGTTTCATTTCTTACATTATTTGCAGGTACTTTGGGTTATAAAAGAATTAGACAAGATGTGGTTGCTTCTTCAGAACCGTAAGAGTGTTCTTCAGATCCACCAAAGGAGAATCCATGATGAAGAATGTCTGAAGATTGATAATAGTGAAAGATTTGCTTTGAATAAGCAGTTATTTGAATCAATCTCAAAGTCTCTTAATGAAGCTGAAACAAAGGAAGAGTTCGATGATGTCGATGCAAAGTTCACCTTGCATTTTCTTTCTGCTGTAGAGAAGACGGGTGGAAAATTTAAGAGGCCGATTAGGAAATCACATTATGGTAACTGCATGAAGGCTGGCCTGTGGAAGCTAGCCAGCTAGTTCTGGTATGCCTCCGAGCAGCTCAGTTTGCAAATTTCTTTAAAGAAAATGGTAAGTACCCTGTTTTATTTTTGTGGGGTGCTTGTGTAATTATATTCAAGTAAGCATACGCGCAAATACTTCCCTGCTTAAGGGCTTGATTTTTTTTCCATGTATACCCTTGAGCAAGTTAGTTTGCAAATCTACGTCGCTCTGACTTTTTATTTTTCTTAAGTATCCAAGTCTAACCCACATCCTAATGTGAATATAGAGATATGATTCTCCAAGGATCTTTTAATACATGGAAAAACTTAGAAAAAAAAATGAACATATTTGTGAGGAACACGGTCCCATATCTGAGAATTACACTAGAGTCTGAGTAAGATAGTTGCAAATCGCTTAAGAAAAAAAAAATCTGGGTGCACTCTAGTAGACTTGTTTCTGAAGATGCATGTGCGAATATGTATTTATTGATGTAAATATTCCTCGAGGATCGAGTAGGGGTCTAAACATTTTCATCACACAACTATAGGACATGGAGTTTCGAGATTATCCAGATGAATCACCTGAGGAGATAGCATTAAGTTTTACATGTGTTATGTTTGAAACTCCAGAACTAGTGCTTAAAGGTTCCAGGCACATGGTAACTTTCAATATTCATGTATAACATTGCTCTTTTTCAGGGGTGTTAATTCTCTATGTTTCTTTTAACTCACTGTTTTTTAAGGCTGCGTTGGAGTTGAGTTGTGAACCATATATCAAGAAACATATTCGTAGCTTTTTCAGAGACAAATCTGTAGTCTCCACAAACCCTACTCCTCAAGGAAATGTAGCAATAGATTGCTTTCATCAATTTTCGAGCATCAAGTGGATACACAACAAGCCACTTTCCGAATTCAATGATGGTCAATGGCTTCTTATTCAAAAGGCTGAAGAAGAGGAGCTCCTTCAAGTTTCTATAAAGTTGCCAGATAGTATGCTGAATAAATTGATCACCGACTTTAATGATGTCTACTTAATCGATGGACCTGCAAGACCTGCCCAGCTTTGGAAAGAACAGCACAAGTTAATTCTACATGATGCTTTCTTCAACTTTCTACTTCATTCTATGGAGAAGGAAGCTCGGAACCTTTTGACCACCAGAGCAAAACACTGGTTGCTTATGGAATGCGGGAAGGAATTATGGAAGATGGTTTCTGTTGGTCCTTATTCATGTAATGTAAACATTCACAGGTCAGTGGAAAAAACTGCACCGAAAGTAATGGCTTGCTGTTGGGGGTTTGGGAAGCCTGCTACAACTTTTGTGATGTTGGATTCATCCGGAGAATTATTGGATATGTTGGAAGCCAGGTCCTTCTCCTTACGGCCACAAACAATTGATGACCAGCAGCGCAAGAAATATGATTGGGAACGTGTCCTTAAGTTCATGAAAACTCACCAGCCACTTGTCATTGTTATTGGTGCAGCTAGTGCATCTTGTGTGCGATTGAAAGATGATGTGAAAGAGGGATGTATATACACTCGCCACAATATATCAAATTTCAGATTTAGATCCTTGTCTTCCATTTGAAAAATTGTCTTTTACTTTAATCAAATTTGTTATATCCTTTTTGTGAAAATTAAACAAATTTTATCTGCACACACATATATCTTTAGTGAAAGAACAAATTTTGTTTAACAACTTGTCTGAAGTCTCTTGATCTATAACAAATGATTGGCGCATTTCTTTTAAATCTGAAGCCATTGCAATAGGAAACTTGTTAACACTTATTTTTTTAGAGTAAGCATAACTTGTAACGTGTATCTCAAGTTTATATGAAAGCTTGCATGTTATGCTGTTATGAATGAACTTGAGGATCACATCGTAGGAGCCAGGAGTGAAATATTTCATAGATGCAGGATTAACATTTATTGCATTTGTCATCAAAATATTACCGGCGTCATTTCTTTGTCCTCAACCAGATCATTTCTAAATTGGAGGAAAGTCATAGAGACCTTGGTCAAGCTACGAATGAAATTAGTGTTGTTTTTGGTGATGAATCTTTGCCTCAGCTTTATGAGCAGTCTCCAATTTCAGCAGATCAGTTTCCAGAACAGCCAGGTGATTACATTTGTTTCTTCATGTTTTTAATAATTTAATTGCTTATATATATTTCTTCACTAATCCTCTCTTCTGTTTTGGGCTGAATTTTTTTAGGCATTGTCAAGCGAGCCATTGCTCTTGGTCGTTACCTCCAAAATCCTATGGCTATGGTTGCCACGCTTTGTGGAGCTAATAGAGAGATAGTGTCATGGAAGCTTAGCTCTTTAGATGAATTTTTAACACCAGATGAGAAGTATGAAATGATTGAACAGGTGATGGTTGATGTGACAAATCAGGTCGGTGTTGACATAAATTTTGCGTTGAGGCATGATTGGTATTTTCCTTTGCTTCAGTTTGTTTCTGGACTTGGACCACGAAAAGCTTCCATCTTACAAAGGGAAGTTGTTCAGTATCAAGCAGTTAATAATAGAAAGGAATTGGCTAGTTTGGGACTCAAGGCAGAAAAGGTTTTCCATAATGCAGTTGGTTTCTTGTGTGTCCGTGGCAGTTGGCTGCCATGTACCAGCTTAGATGGGACAAGAATTCACCCCGAGTCATATAATCTTGCAGAGAGACTAGCTAAGTCTGCATGTAATAATATTACAAAGGAACCTATTGAGTATGTTAAGAAGGAACCACAGGTGCTGAGTATGTTTGATGTTAATAATTTTTCAGATAATTATGAAAACGAGAATAGTGAAAATAGAAGAGAGACCTTTTATCATATTAAGGTGGAATTGCTCCACGGATTTCGGGACCCTCGCAAGCCTTATAAAGCACCATCCCTTGATGAAGAATTCAATATGATATGTGGAAAAAATGGGACTGCTGTTGCTGAAGGAAGATTTGTTCAAGCCATTGTCCGGCATGTTGGACCACTACAAGTTTTTTGTGTGCTTGATTCTGGCTTGACGGGGATAATAATGAAGGAATAAATTGCGGATGAGAGTGGCGATTGTTCTTTGCAAAATAAGCTGCATGAGGAGGACAATGTATTGTGTAAGATCAAGCAGATTGACAAGATGAAATGCCAGGCAATTCTGACTTGCAGAGAAGGTGAAATGAAGAGGACCAGATATGAAGCTATCAATGAAATTGATCCTTTCTATCATGAAGGTGGGAAAGTTTCCTTAAACCAGCGGCAGAAAAGTTGTGTTGAGGAGAAGCTCGGAAAAAGGCGTTTCATATCACGAACAATTACTCATCCTTGCTTTAGGAACATGACAATGGATGAAGCAATGGAGGTATGCTCTATAAAGCCAAGTCTTTTCTTGTTAATGTTATTTTTGAACAATTGAAGTGGCTCATAAAGTACATGTTTTTTGTCTTTCCATGAACAGTTTCTATCAGATAAGGCTGCTGGTGAAAGTATGTTTCGTCCGAGTTCAAGAGGCACATCCTTTCTGACTCTAACTTTAAAAGTCTTTAATGAACTTTATGTTAACAAAGACATTGCTGAAAGTGGAAAAGACCACAATGATATCATTAGCTTGCTCCAACTTGGAAAACCATTGAAGATTGGGGATAAAGCTTTTGATAATTTAGACGAGGTTGGTAACTTGTTTACTATTGACGAATGATTTTAAAGTTCCCTTTTTCTTTTCTTGAAATAATATATGTTGTGCATATTTACACCGGGGTTCTATTTTGACAAGAACATTTAATATCATAACGTTTACATTCATATATTAAGAGCCTTTGTGTCAAAAACAGGTTATGGATCGTTATGTTGTCCCATTGGTAAAGCACTTGAAAGAAATGCTAGGTTTCCAGAAATTAAAGAGCGGTTCGAAGGTTGAGGTTGATAAGCCTTGAGAGTTGAGAAAGCAGAATACCCTTTGAGGATTGTTTATTGTTTCGGGGTTTCTTTTGAGCATCCAGGCACTTTCATTCTGTCATATATAAGAAGTATAAACCTACACCATGAGTATATTGGATTGCTTCCAAATGGATTCAGATTCAGGAAACGAACATTTGAGAAGATTGAACATCTTGTGGGATATTTTCAGAAAAACATTGATGCTTTGCAGCAGAAGTCAACTGCACTTGAAAGTCGGTAAACCGGGAATTCTTCAGGACCATGCACCGGTGATGGTAGACAAGGCCAGTTCAATTATAGATTTTTCAGAGCTGTTTCAAAAGGTAAAGTGAATAAACTGAAAAGGAAACCCTCTCTTCCAAGGGATAAGCTGACCTGCAGAATCATGCGTCACTTTTTCCCTGTTCCATATTCTGTCTGATATTGAGAATTCTGATGAAAACAACAGTAA